AAAAGTATGTCTGGACCGCTCGATGAACCGATACCAACCCATGTTGGATAACTTCCGTTGTTTGAATCGCGCAGTCCAGACGAGTGTAGGCAGTTTGATGGTCCGCTACGGAGATGTCCTTAGGTCTCGACGAGGAAAATCAATCATGCCGCTGTGCCTTGACTAAGTCTTCACAACCTTAGATCCTTGGGCTCGCGGGTACCCGAGATACCGGAGGACGAAAGATAAAGTATTGAGAGGGACAGGAAAGCTATGCCGAACGTGGCATTAAGTGGCCCTAGTAGTAGCTTGTTAAACACATTGATGTGGCAGCCACGTGGTCAACTTTTTCCATCCCAATTCAGTTTTGGCCTTAGATCAAATAGATGTGTTTATGGCCTATTTAAAAAAAATTGTTGGTCTAAAACATGAATTCAATTTGAGTTAATGGTCTAATGACGCATTTGACTCTCATTGTGATGCACATAACTACATGTATTAAATGATGAATATCAAAGTTTAGTTCATATAAATCCCAATAAAAAGGAAGAAGCCACGACCAGCAAAAATAGAAATATGTGTCGACATGTATAACCTATTATTAAACCATCATTCAAACGGTTTGCAAGTAACCGGTGCAACCACGTAGCCACCGCCTCCTCTTATAAGCTTAGGTTTTCTTTGCCTCCCGCCTGCTCTGGGGCCATGAAGGTGCAGTGGATTCCGGCCGTTGCCGATGGAAGGGCTTCGTTTTTAGATGTTGTTTTGTGTTTTGTTAGGATTTGTATCCTGCTCGGGAAGGCGAGATGGCAGTGGATCCCTGAACATGGAATAAGTTTCTCTCCGTCTAGCCCCCGTTCCAGTGGTGCGTCTAGTACTGTCAGTGGAGATGTATCTGCAGTGGATCTATCTTTGGTGGACCTGCTCGGATTTGTTTCGTTCATCTGCTTTCGTGTGTCTTCAGGTTGGATCCCTTCCAATCTATGGTACTATTCATCGGCGATGGTAGTTGTTCTGGTGCGTTGGTCCTACGCGGCCTTACCATGACGACTTTCCGACTATTTACCACAACATGTTTTGCCCGGCTCCGACGAGGGAGGGGCGATGACGGCGGCGTGCTTTCGGCTCGCTTCAGTTCTTCTAGTCGTTGCTAAGTGGTCTATGAATTTGGATTTTTTTTTTATTATTTCTAATGTTTGTTCTACTGTCATAATTGAAGATGAATACTCCCTCCGTCCCATAATATGAGTGTAGTGTCAAAAACGCTCTGATATTATGGGACGGAGGGAGTAGATAGGAAGTTCTCCCCCCAAAAAAGTAACTGATGCGATCATCTCCCATCGATTGTATCCAGTATCCATAAGTTCAAGTACCTCCGCATGCATGTTCAAAGGGCCACGTACGAATCCATTGTAGCCCTAAAAATGACGCATGGAGAAAAGGGGGAAATGGTTTGAGCTTACTCGATAAATATCTGCACCATACAACAAAGAAATAAGGCCCAAGAACAGGGGAAATCAAAAAAGAGTCTATGATTAGTTTAATAAAATAAAGCAAGATTAATCTGATGGAGATTTTTTTACGGTGCATCATACTACCCAAAGTATTTAGTTGATCCAACGGTCAATACAGATCAGCCATATTTTCGCTCTAGAACATATTGGTAATTCCAAATTAGAGGTAAATTTGTTCTTTCCTAAATTTAATCACAAGTATTAATCTACTAGTTAATTTAAATAATCCCATCCCATTCCTCACCGCGCCGCCGCAAAATTTCCGTTCACAGTGCGCCGGCAAACACCTCCGCTATACCGGCTTCGCTGCTGTCAGTGCGTGCACACAACTACACAGTTTGGTGTTGCACATGGTGCGCCAGCCTCTTTGATTTTCATTTGATGATTAACTGGGGCAACCGGGCAAGGCAGCTGACGATGCGATGGTGAGCAAGGCGGCGCGGGCATGCGACGGCCGGCTGCGGCGGTAAGCGGATGTGGTGCTGCGTGGCAGACAACATGTTCGACACCTTGTTGCACTCCGCATTGTTTGCGAGCATCCTCGCGCGGATGCATGAGCAGGCGCATCTACAGCCCACGTTGCTGGTGCACCTTCGGGCTGCCAGAGCGGCCCCGCAGCACAGGCGCTGCGGCGACGACGGGCATGGTTCAAGCAAGGCAAGAGCGTCGGGCACCTCCTGTCAATGCGGCTCGTCATCCCGAAGGCATCCGGTGGAGACTCGCCGGAGGAGCAGAAGTGTGACAAACCGTGGAGGAAGAACGAATTGTCGCATACGTGGTCATCCTCGCGGAGCTTTGCTCAGCTCCATCGGCCTTTAATCACACTGTGAAGTTCAAGCAATAAAGAAAATCACCGGGGGAAGATACGTGCCCGTGGCCATCAGCAAATACGAGAGCAAGAACGATCTGATTGTTGCGTACATTGCGTGCCATGCTTGTGTATCCGGCCGGCGGCGAGTCTACCTCGTTGTATGTACGTGCGGTACAGGCCAGCATGGAGCACAAACCAAGACCGTCAACCTCGCTTCTTCGTCTTCGTCCTCGGTCGTCGCATGTGGCTGAAAAGAACTCGCGCCATGAACTAGCCAAACAGATGATGGAAGGAAAGGTTGGCCATGATGGGCAAGGAATCTGTCTACGTGATTGATAAACATTGAACTACTCAATATGCCCCTAATTAGTGATTATACTACCCAATATGCCCCTAATTAGTGAATATACTACCAAAAAACTGAGGTAGTATTGGCTCATCTGGGTCCTCCAAGCCACACAAATGAACTGCCCAAATTGCATATGTATACATAAAGCAAAGATGGCTAAAGGTGGTGTTGCCTTCACTCGCCAACTTGTGCCTTAATGTCATTTGAGTCGGTACGTGATGCGGCCGGGAATAGCGCTTGATTGCCCGGCTAGCAAATCATTTGACGTACGTCAAGGGCATCTTTGCCACGTCCGTCGTCAAGGCATTGATCACAGTGAGAGTGGCTTGCCACACGGGCGTGTAAGGTTGTCAAGATAAGCCCAGGGACAACCACCGGCACCCGGCGGCTACACACGGCTAATTAATCGAGGGCTTGACGGCCTTGAAGGTCTGCGACTTCCAACCGTAAACCGCAACCTAATTCCCGTGTGTGTGTGACATATAGGCTCCAAATTGGCCTAGGTCTACTGCATTTCATTATGAAAGTTTTGAACGTTCATTACGACGAGAGTGAAGGTAGTTATTATTCCCGGCAATGTCCATGTCGAGCAACGAGTGAGACGGACAGGCATCACGCTCAGCTTGTATGTAAGCAATCATTCATGCCTTTTGCAACAACAAACACGCCGACGAGCTTGCGTATTGGCATGCACCATGTTGAGCAACTAATTTGTATTAACCCTTCTCTACGTGTGCGTGTGTGTGTGTGTGTCTGTGTGTGTGTGTGTG